ATTTCTTATTTCCCCGAAATTCCCCCAATGATCATCACCAAAATACTCCGGTGTTTTTTGCAAATGAAAAATTCCGTTTTCTTTATTTGTTTTTTTGGAGAAAAATTCGAGAAGAAAAGCAAGGATGTCAGAGAAATGAAGAAATTGAAACCCCGTCTTTTTTGTGTGTTCTTTTCTCATTTCAAATTCTCATCCGATCAACACTCGAGAAAAATTGGGAACGGATAAAGTTGAAGCCGACTTTCTTGAGGCTTACTTTCTTGAGGCTTACTTTCTTGCTCAATCTAAACACATCTTTTCTAGCGTAATGACTGTTTAGCTTTTCAATCAAACCGGTGAAATGAAACTGAAAAACAAGAAACGAAAAAGCAAAGTAAATGTAAAAGTAAAAGCAAAGTGCAAATGCTTTAAAGTAATCAAAGAAAATGACAAACACTCCCCTTCTGGTACACTTAAAAACGCTAACGAGATGAGGAAATGGTGTGCCAGAAGGGATATGTTTCGATGGGCACAAAAGGCACAGCTCAGAGTATACAATGAAAAATTGTTAGTCAAAACACACCCTTTCTGGCATAGCCACTTGAAAAAATGTGGAATCGATGTGCCAGAAGGATTGGATTTGCAGTGAGCACAAAGTTCACCTTTAGATGCGTAGGTATGAAAGTTTTAGATGCCTCAAAAGTTTCCCCAATATTTCAAGACTTTAATGGAAGCGATTAAGGCAAGACAGCTGTTTTCATGGCTGAGTTTTCAGCTTTCAGTTTTCAAGACAACATTGTCTACTCATTTCTGCAAATTCTTTTTTATAGCCAAGCTAAATTTATAAAATAATAACTTACATCAAAAATATTTCACAACGAAATTCACAATTGAAGAATAATTACCGGGTTCAGCTTTTCTCAATTTCAAACTTGTGTTTAGCTTCTTTGATTTTGAAATATTTGAAATAATTTTCGACATATTACCTCAATGATTTTGAAATGATTTTAAAAATGATTGAAATGATTTAATTTTAAAAGAATTTCTATTTTTTGATGGGGTGGGGGTTTGCGCCTTTTTTGAAAAGGAGGAAGGGGAAAATATTGCGACGGGGGTTTAAAAAGAAAAAAAAAAAAGTTGGTTGTTTTTTTTTTGTGGTTTTTTTTTTTCAAATTTTGTTTTTTTTGATTTTAAAAATTAAATTTAATTTAAAAGAATTTCCAAAAAACCTCTAAAATTCTAAACGCTTCTGCCCTATAACCTCCCGATCGTTGAATTTTTTTTTGCGATTCAGAAATTGTTTCGAAATCTTTAGAGAAAATCACCTACACCACTCAAATTGAAATCCTCATTGCATTTCCCCATTTCCAATTCCACCAAACAACTCAAATATCTAATAACGAAAACTCTCATTCACCCCAAATTGATCAAACCTCACCAAACCTTGGGAACTTTTTCCTTTTTTTTCTCTTTCTTTTTTTCTTTTACTTTTTTTCTTGCAATTTTTCTTGAGCAAAAATTATCGTCGGCCACAAATTGAATCCGAGAAAAAGTGTAGGGAAATTCTAATTTTATTTGAAACTAGGAAAGAGGAAGACTCAAATTATTTGGATGTCTAAGAAAGATTTCTTAGTGGCCCTAGTGGCCCTAGTGACCTTAGTTCTTAGTGAAGGATTTCTTAGTAGAGCGGGAATGAAATGGTAAAGTTTTTAGTTGGCTTTAATTATTGTTTTAACAAAAAAGTGTGTTACTTACAGAGTTTAAAAACGATTTCTCTAGCTTGATTTAAATGTAAATCGCAAAATATTCAGTACATTTTGTTATATTTCAAAAACTGGAAGATTAAAGTGATTCAGTCCAAAAATAGCTGATATATCTGGCATATTTTAAAAGCTTTAGAGCTTAAATATAATCTGATCTTGAGCTTAAATATAAGCTGATATATCTGGCATATTTTAAAAGCTTTAGAGCTTAAATATAATCTGATCTTGAGCTTAAATATAAGCTATGACTTTGATAAAGCTCACTTATCAGCTTTAGTTTCCTTTTTTAGGTTTAGAAATGAAACAAAATTGCTAGTGTGGGAATATAAATTTTCTTGATTTATAGCTCTTCTTGAATCTTCTTGATCTTCTTGAATTCCCCAGCCTAGCCAAAAACCCAGCCTAGCCAAAAATCGATTTAATAGAACATACAAATGTCTCATTGCGTTCATTCAACAAAATGCGATGAAAAGTCTCTTTTTGACACCGGAAAGCCTTGATGAATTGCAAGAAAGAGAAGAAAACAAGAGCCAAAGATTTCAACCGAAATCTTCGGCTATTTGACCATCCAAAAGATCACCGAAAAGAGATGCTTCTTGTGTGGCTAAAGGGTTTAAATTGTGCCCTCAATTGACGTCCCTTCTTTCCCATCTATTTCTTTCCGTTTGCAATATTGGAACCCTTTCCAAACACTCTTTCTTTATCTCCTTTTACCATTCTTGCCTCTTAAACAAAATGAAACCATCATCAAACGATGTTTCGAAAATAAAATTGCTTCTTTGGAAAAATATTTATCAACAAAACAATCAAAAATCGGGTTTGTGTGTCGAGAATCACCGATGCTCAACGCTAGATTTGCTCGTGACACAAAAGCAAATGCTTTACTTTTTGTTTCTGCCATTAGGCTGCTATCTTGAAATTAAAAATTCTGTCGATAACTCTTAAAATTTCAAAATTCTATCGCTAACCCATTAAAATACCTTGTCCAGCGCTTGTCCCATTACAATAGCTTGTCCAATACCAGTCCAGCTTGTCCAGTGCACTCTCGTCACTTCTCGATTTTCGTTCGTATTATAATAATAATGCTTATAATGCTTAAAAAAAAGCAAAAAAAAAAAATTTGAGAAGTTGAACCCGCGACCACCAGCGCCACCAGTGCCTCGGACCACAAAAACACAGAAACAAATCTACATCGAACCAAAAATTCTAAAATTTTATACACATAAGATAGAAATAATTATCAATCAAACCAAAAAGAAAGAATTTTGAAAAATATCCATTAGCGCCGAGTAAAAAAACCAGACAACACATACCGTAAATAATGTAACAGTACGTAAATAATGTAACAGTACGTAAATAATGTAACAGTACCCTCCTCGTACAGTCGCGTAGTCGCAAAAGTTTTAATATTTTTAGAAATACAAATTTTTGCTTTTTTTGCTTGCCAAATTTTCCCTCTCAAATACTCTCATGGTGGTTTAGTTTAGCAATTGATCGGGGAGGTTAGTTTTGGGAATATTTTTGTGGGGAATCTGCTTGATGCACGCTATTTTCTGTTATCTAACAAACAGCTAAACTGATCAACTTCAAAAGCAAACAAACGCAATCATTTAGGCAAGGATAGCTTTTTTGCAAAAATGTACCTTCTGCCAAGAAATGATGATTTCTGGTGCTTGCTGCTTTGGAGCGCCGCACCGCAAACAATTGCTGCGAAATTTTTGCTGCCGATCCAGTTACCCAATCATCAGCCTCACTCTTCTCAGCCGCTGTATCGGTCAGGCCAATATACAGAGTGGTTCAAAAGTATTGCGACAAATCAAAAAAATATACCCAAATGTTAAAAGGCTAAATAAATTAAAACTTTTGATTCTTATAACGTTTTTTATTTTTATAAAGTCAAAAAAACTACCGTATTTACTCGAATAGAAGACCGGCCTCGATTATAAGACCGTCTCGAATAGAAGACGGGGTCTAGGGGATGATCGAAAAAATAGAAGACCGTCTCGAATATAAGACCGGTCTTATATTCGAGGTACCCTGTTTTCTATTCTGCGCGAAAGTGGACGTACTCAAATACGAGAAAAGAATAAGGGAATTTACCCAATAGGGTAAAAATATTATATTTTCATTCAATAGCACTATTTTTTTGATATTGTTCTACATCTCGTATTAATAATTTTTTTTGGTACTTTTCCATTATACCTCCGCCATCTCCACATTTCCGTCATTTTGACTCTGATTATTTTTAATTATTTGATTATCTGATCATTTTTTATCTAAAAACTGGCGGGGTATAACGGAAATGTGGAGTTGGCGGAGGTATAACGGAAAAGTAGCATTTTTTTAGGGGATCGGAGGTGCTACGAAACGGAAGCTTAAGTGCTGCCTTTAAACTCGAGGCCATTCGTTTTTCAAAGAAAAGAGGCGACTGCTCGATAGTTTAAGGTGACCCAAAGATGATTCCAGACTGGACGGCAAAGAGGAGTCGCTGCAAAAGGAATCGAAAGGAGCGAAGCGGTTAAAAGGAGGAGGGCGAATGCTTAAATTTCGCGCAGTCGAGGAGACCACTTATCGATGGATCAAAGAAAACGGAGGAAAAGCTAAAAGTTTCTAGACGTATGGTTCAGGACAAAGCAAGAAGTTTTTCGCGAATCAAACCTAGATTTCACAAAGTCTTTCTCTGCAAGCAATGAATGGCTTGCGAATTTTTGTGACGGCAAAAATGACAACGAGGAGTTCAACAGCGAGGATGATCAGATTGTTTGTTTCCGCAATGGGGAAGCTGTTGAGAGTGGTCGATTCAAGCTGGATATTGCAAGATTGGAGGGAGATTAGCAAAACTTTGTCAAGATATCGACTCCGACGAGGATAGAAACAATGGAGATGAGAGTGAAAACGATCAATTTCGAGCGCAGAGGGACTTGATGGAATTTGCAAGATCCAGATTTAATAGAGGATGACATTGAATCAAGTGAGAATGAAGAATAATGTTGTTATTACTGCTTTTTATGTTCTTATTAATTGTTGTTAATGTTGTTATTAAAGGTTGTTGTTGATAAATTTTGTTGTTAAATGTTACAATAAATTTCTATAAAAAGTTTTTTTTTAAACGCTGGTTACTTTCCCGAAAATTTTCGTGAATGCAAATAATAAAAGACCGTCTTGAATAGAGACCGGCCTCGATAGAGACGGGGTCTAGGGGTGTGTTGAAAAATGGAAGCCGGTCTATTCGAGTAAATACGGTAAGTTTTATTTTTAATTTTGCGAAATGGCCACCGTCGACTTTGATCCAAGCGTCGATTCTTGAGGTAACGGTGCTGTTTGGATTGTTTTTAAGCCTGGGATCTTTTTGAGGAGGCTGAAGACGAATCTCTTGTATGGTTCGGTGAGGAATAACAGGGAAATGCAAGAGACCGATCCATGGGTGGTGAGAAGTGAGAAGAGGAGATTGTTCAACCCTGAATTTACGGCAGTGAATCTTTCTATTCGGTGTCAGTTTGTTGTACACGGAATATGCATGGTATTGAACGCTTTTCTTTTTTTTGCGCTAAATCGTATCCGATTAGTCTTTTGTTGGTCTTTCGGAACAATGTTTCTTAAAGAAAAGCTAAAGGAAAGCTAGTGTGTGACGATAAAAAAATGAAATAACACAAAAGCAACGTGACAAAAGAAACTCTTTTACGTTATCCGATCATCGATTATTGAATCTGATCGGATCAGTTTCAAATACGATTCAATCTTATCCAATGCTCAGCTTAGTGTTTCGAAGAAAGAGTTTTGTACGATTAGCATCGAGTTTCTCAACTCAACTTTCTTGTTCCCCTTTTCAGAAAAGTTTCTTGAACAATTCAGGGCAAAATATCGGATTAAAAACACGTCAAACACCCACATTGATTGATGTAATTGCTTTGTAATGCCATCAACATTGCAAAATATGTCCATGGGACCGTCATCGCAACAACGGGAATCATTTCCTGCAAGAAGCCCTCGTTTCTTTGCTCCAAACCCGGACTACAGGGTTTTAAATAAGCTCTCAAAGTTGACAGTCGCACTTTGCCTGCCTAGTTTTCGGGTTCTTGAAAAACGAGCTGCTTACTGAGAGGAGCTAATTTGTTAGTTTTCAATCAATGCGTCCTAGTTACTCATACTCACTCCGGAGGGTGTAGCTCAGTCAAAAGATAACCGATTCCCACAAAAATTTTTACAGGTAAATGTTGAGTGGGTCTCCTGTAGCGGTGCCCATTATCTAACCGATAGGCGCTCATAAATTTTTTTAAATAAGCTCTCAACGTTGAGAGTCGCACTTAGCCTGCCTAGTTTTCGGGTTCTTGAAAAACGAGCTGCTTACTGAGAGGAGCTAAGTTTTTTTGTTAGTTTTCAATCAATAATGTTTAGATATGAATTTTAAAAACAAAAAAATTTCCAAACGATTAGTCATTTCGCTTTTCTTTCTCAACTTTTTAAACACCTCTCGACCCGGATTTACCTAACGAAAATCATAAATAAGCAGGGGTTTTTTTCATTTTGTGTGAGATTTTTCCCGTAAACAATGATCGGAGGTTGAGAAAACATCTTTCTGATAAATTTATTGCAAAAATTTCCCCAATCGGCTTTCAATGTCACTTCAAAAACCCGAAAACTAGGTCGTGCGCCAGGCTAAGTGCGACTCCCAACTTTGAGAGCTTGTTTTAAAAATTTATGAGCACCTATCAGTTAGATAATGGGCATCGCTACAGGAGACCCACTCAACATTTGCCCGTAAAATTTTCGTGACAATCGATCATCTTTTGACTGAGCTACACCCTCCGGAGTAAGTATGAGTAATTATGACGCACTCTGTACATATGATCCTGATCATGTTATATTTAGTCAAAAACTTTATGGCTTCTTATCCAATTTGCATTTATGGCATTTGTATGACAATTGAATTCTGCATCTAACGACACTAAAAGTTAGGGAAATGAAAAACGAAAAGTTATCCGATAGCAAAAAAAAAGCCGACGATTCTAACCTGGATGCATAAAGATAGAAAGAATTTGCGTTGAAGTCGTTGAGTTCGCTCGCTCGCATGGAATCCGATGATCGCGTGCATACACGAAGAAACATGAGAAGCACTCTAAAAAGTAAAGAATTGGGGAAAATAAGGCGTTATCCACGAAAATCAGTGTGCAGATAAGGGCAAAAGCGATGCCAACGACAAGAAATGCTAGCGAAGTCATATTGACATATGGTGGGTAGAGAGGACGAAATGAGGAGACGTAGATGTCCGGAATCACAGAAAGATATTCAAATGTGGGATGGAGCTGAAAATAGAAATGATTATCGGATCGAATCGAATATATCCGATCTGCTCCGATCCGATCCGATCTGCTCCGATCCGATCCGATCTGCTCCGATCCGATCCGATCCAGCTCCGACCCGATCCGATCTGCTTCGATCCGATCCGATCCAGCTCCGACCCGATCCGATCCAGCTCCGACCCGATCCGATCTGCTTCGATCCGATCCGATCCGATCTGCTTCGATCCGATCCGATCCGATCTGCTTCGATCCGATCCGATCCGATCTGCTTCGATCCGATCCGATCCGACCTGCTTCGATCTGATCCGATCCGATCTGCTTCGATCCGATCCGATCTGCTCCGATCCGATCTGCTCCGATCCGATCCGATCTGCTCCGATCCGATCTGCTCCGATCCGATCTGCTCCGATCCGATCCGATCGAATCCACGTCCAAACTATAATATACCTAGCTGAAACGGGATTGAGCCGTAAACAAAGCGGGTTTCTAGTTAGTTGCGAGACAAAAAAGCTGCCATTAGAAACAAGTTTGGGCGCGTGCAGTGGAATGCATGCTTTGCTCGAAAAAATTTTGCCTTTTTGCATCTTGCATCTGGTATTTTTCTGATTTATAAAGCAATTCCACATCTTTCAATTTTCGCAAGAATCAAGAAACGTCTCTTTCAGCCAAAAGGAACTACTTTTAAGAACCAAATAGGAACCTTCTTTTAAAGAACTTTCTTTCTTTTCTATCAAATGAAATGAAAAGTTTAAGAAAAGACATCATTAAGCGAGATATAAGCTCACAATAATCTTAAGAGTTTGTTAAAAAGAACTTTTTGTAAAGAATAATTACATCTTTTAATTCTCCACAATTTGCTGGATATATAAGTAGATTTTCAGCTCAATAGTTTTGATCGGCTTTGAGAAAATGACTTCGCCCTCTATGTGTTAATGAAGAATGAAAATTTGATAAAAACTTTCAAGTTATTTCGAGTCATCTGAATACTTTTTATCAACTCACCTCGATCATTTCTCGAAAATTCTCGCCTTGTGTCCCCTTCTCAATTGGTAGTATCTCAAAGGCGGCCACCAGCCAAGTGGCACACAAAACAAACGGGGACCAGAAATAAAAGATTGCCACAATTTTGTGCATTCTGAAAAGAAAAAGCAAATCTTTCTCTATTTTTCGCTCACTTGAAGCGGCTATCCCCGAGAAGTAGACTTTGCCATTTGTAGAAGAATAAATAGTTGACAGCTTGAGAGGAAACGACCACAAGCAAGGCACCGAGCGCCTAGATTGGTTTGATTGATTGGCATTACTGGATCCAATTATCACATTTGGCAATCAGATCTGATTCTTTTTAAAGATTAGGCTACTTAGTAGACATGGTTTCGGACGTAGTTTCGATCGGATCGGATCAGATCGGTGACATCCAAATGGTCGAACCCATCGGTTTGGATCAGATCAAATCGGTGACATCCAATTGGTCGAACTCATCGGTTTGGATCGGATCAAATCGGTGACATCCAATTGATCGAACCCATCGGATTGGATCAGATCAAATCGGTGACATCCAATTGGTCGAACCCATCGGATTGGATCGGATCAAATCGGTGACATCCAATTGGTCGAACCCATCAGATTCGATCGGATCAAATCGAACGTATCCGATGAACGGATTATCGGATATCGGATCGGATAAGAGCACAAATTTTGAGCACTTTTGAATTGGATATATTCGATTGGTCAGATCGGCGGGACCGGATCAGATCGGAGGGATCGGATCAGATCGGATCCGATTGATCCCATTTTGCCGGATCGGTTCGTTTATATCCAATCCAATAACCATTCTACTACTGGGCTACCTATCGTTAGTCTACAATTTAAAATTCGACTACTTATCGATCGTTATGTGCAATGGAGAACTCTTCTTACGAGTGCATGCTTTGCTCCCAATCCGAACACCGTATCCCATATGCCAAAGATTCGACCGGATAGGGCGGGAAAGTAAAGCTCCGGTTGGATGGAGATGAGCACGAGTTCGAGGAGGAAATGGGCGATCTGGAATGCATTGAAGCTTTTCCCGATTGGAATCGGATCCAATCCATAACTATCTGTGAAAAGATTTTCAACGAATCTGATTCGATTTCATTCGGATCGGATAGATCGAATAGGATCAGAGATTGGCCCAATATGTTTTCAATAGAGAACTGTTTTCAATGGAAATTTTATAGTTCTTGTGCAAAATTTAAACCCTTAAAGAAACCCAAAAGAAACGCGTTCTGACATTGGAAACCGAATCAATTGTTCAAATGACTGACATTTATTCTGATCAATCGGATTATCATGGGATAGGAAGGGTCATAGGATCGGATCAGTGATTCAATGTTGTTCCGATCCAATAACACTGTTTCAAGGTCTACAGCAAACATTCTTTTGGCTAAACAAGAAGGTGGACATGGATCGTATCCGACCGTATCTTTTGAAACAAATCGCTAATAATAAGTATTATTGGTACAAACGTGTGAACACATCAAAAACGGCTTGTATTCTCTCATTTCCGGCGGTGTCCTGGTGAAGATCGTATATAGAGAAAATATATGGATTGGAGCAGAAAATAGGGATAAAATCCGGTCATACCAGATGTAGAGCACTGGATCTTCGTACATATTCGTACATTGGATATGTTCTGTTAAAGGAAAATGCGATAGTTATCAAAAATCTATCAAAACCTTTAGCTTTGTGGCAAATAAAAGTTGAATTTTTGACTTTTCACTGAAAAATGTTTGAAACACTTCCCTTTTTGACTGAAAAATGCTCGAAACACTTCCCTTTTTGACTTGAAATTTTTGTCCTTTGCAGCCTTTTAGAGCACCTGCTCGTCGAGACACTTTTAGTCGCAAAGTTCAGCCATTTTCTTGGGAATATACATCACTTTTTTTACATTGGTTTTCGATACCCCTTATCCGGCTAGAGCAGGAGGTTTCGATCTAAAAAAAGCTGTCTGTGGCTCTTTGAAAAATCACTCTCTCTCTCTCTGCTGCGCTATTTTTTACTGACTATCGCTTCAATGCTCGAGTCGAACGCAACTTGTTAATACTTCCGGGACAGATTGCTTTAGGTGGGTCATTTGATATAATTTTTAAAAAAAAAGGAATATTGTCGATTAAAAAACTGAGAAACTAACTGAGATCCTAGAGTTCCCCTTGTTAACGCTAAAAATCTATTAGGTTGTTCGGATATAAACGAGCGTTTGCACTGCTTAACTCGTGAGGAAGCCATTTCCCGCATCTGATCGCCTTTCCAATGGCGTGGAGATGCTCATCAATCATAGAATTTGAACATAGAAACTGTTGAGCTAGTTCACGCGTCGTTTGACATGGATCCGATTCGATTGCAGCCCTCAAAGTATCATTGTCTACCGCTTGAGGTCGACGAGAGTGTTCATGATCCTCGAGACTTTCATCACCGTTTGGAAAGCGTTGGAGCCAGGCTCCGATGTGTTACTAAAAAAAATTTAGTAACACTTTTGGAACACCCGACCCGATGGGTCGGGTGTCTAGAATCATCGACGATTTCGTATTCCTGGCTCAAGAGTCAGGAATACAAAATACACGGCTTTTTGGAACACCCGACCCGATGTCCCCCTGACCCGTGTCCCTGCCCCGGGGTCAGGAATACAAAAAAGGCCCTTTTTCGTCGGTCCTGGCCCCGGGGTCGGGTGTTCCAAAAACCCGTGTATTTTAAACTTCTTTCCCTAGGATTGCTTTCTTACCACCGGAGGTTGCGCCGGCCTAGGACCACTATGGCTCCGATGTGAGCACAAATTAGGGAAATTGCCAAAAACGACAGTTTAGATGTTAACCGGCGCAATTCTCGCTGCATCAATGGTCAAAGATATCCAACTCCAAGTGGAGAATCGAAATCCGAATGTCTTTGTTTTCGAGCAAACCTACGCGTCGAAAGCCTCAGTTTTCGCCATCGATGAGAGCATTGTGGTGAAGTTAGGCGAATATCGACGTGAGTGAGACTAGTCAAAATAATATTAAATACATACCGTAAATACTGTAATAGTACCCCACCCCCATAATGACGGTGCGGAGTGTTGCGTAGTCTAGCTTTGGACGCGTTTTTCTCGACACTGGTTTATGCTACAATGCGCGCTTAGGTATCAAAAAATAGCTGAAATTCAGGGCTATTTTTTGAAAGTACGGGCACTTTGAAAAAAGATGAAATACTAAAAAACTTTTGCGACTACGCGACTGTACGAGGGGGGTGGGGTACTATTACAGTATTTACGGTATAAAGAATAACATAAGTGTTAGTTGCTCTGAGATCTTTTGCAAACATTATAATAGTGTTTTTGAGTTGTAAGCTAAAGGCGAAGACTCTGTTTATTTGTTTAGCCGTCCCGCACTCCGAGGAGCTCCCATTTATTTGGATGCCAAAATCTGCTTGGGATGTAGCGATTCAAGAAAACAAGATAATATTCGACAATGCTATTGTTTAAATATGAGCAAGCTTTAGACGATTCCTTTCGATTTCATTCTGGCCGATTCCTACGGCACATGGTAGACGAATTTCGCGAAATTTGGGTTGGTTTTACTTTTGAAATTGTGGTTCTTTGAATCTGATTCATAAATTCAAAAGAAAGAGTGAAATTAATACGAAAAATTGCAGTAAACCGACACTCGACAATTGTTGGCGACCAGTTTCTCGGACGAAACCATTGCGTCTCGAATATTTCCAAATTGGTCTCCCAGCCAACGGTGGAATGCGAATGATGAATGGATTTCGAGATCGGGATGATCAAGTTTTTAGCCGAGTTAGTGATTGGTTAAGTAAATCAGGCAAAACAAATGAACACTTTCAGCTCCTTCCCATCACTTTCGGTTGGGATCCTGCCAATTAAAATGCGAGCGAAACAAACTTTTCTTTGTGACTAAAAACTTTCAAATAAAATCGTCTCACTCTTTCGTCTCTTTTCCAAAAAAAACTGGGTACACGGCCGTCACCTGTAGTTTGATGTTGATGCCATTCTTGGTTGACAAAAAAACCCTTGATTTATCTATAACGACCTTCAACCATCAACCGATTTTCCTAGAAACTTTTGTCGAATTCATCTTTCCAACAAAGAGCGAACCAAATTTTTCATTGAAAATCGGGTGTTCAGATCAGAAACGAAAACGAAAAGAAACAAACGGTTCTCTCTTCTGAAATAAATGTGCAAAAATTGAGTTTAAAACGTCTAATGATTAGGGGAAAGACGAGATCGTAAGCTTTTCTCATCTATGAAATTTACTTACAGTTGCCAATTGAAGTTTCATATTTTAATAATAGAAAGTAGCTTCGAAACTCTTCCAAAAAAATATATTCAGTCGAGCATTGAATTCCCAGCAATGTATTCATTACATTCATTAACAAATCGAAATCTTGCATGAGTGGATTTCTGTAGTAGATAATATTTCTCGACACATCTCGCCGCATAGTTGACGTATGAATGAAGTTTCGCCTCGATTGAACATCGTGCTTTTGATTTTTCCGAATCTATATAGATTTTTCAATATTTTCAGGTTTCATTGAAAATGTTCCTTGATAAATATTGAATAAAGTTAACAAACCAGTCAATCTGGAGACTTGTCTCTCAACAAAAGTCTCATTTCCCAACAAATATCCAACAAGAATCACTTGGAGGGGAAAGACGAGATCATAAGCTTTTCTCATCTATGAAATTTACTTACAGTTGCCAATGAATGATTCAAACCGTTTCAAAGCTCTTCCAGGGCAATTGGCCGGTGGTATTCTCAGAGAGTGTCTTGTAGTATAGATGAAGAAGACTTTCCAAACTTAATAAACATAAAAGCTATTTTGTCAGATTGCCAAAAGCCAATTAATTGGAAAAAATCCTCAACTGTTGTCCGAAGTCGTCAGGAGAAAGGGCCGAAAAGGTGATACGACATACATCGATGATCGGATTGTTGAGATGAACTGTCTGAATGAGCTTGGTTGTTTTTCTCTACAGATTTGGTTCCTTCTCTCCACAGATTTAGTTCCTTTCCTCTACAGATTTGGTTCCTTCTCTCTAAAGATTTGATTCCTTTTCGATAGTGATTTGGTTCTTTTTCTCTACAGATTTGGTCCTTTATCTCTACAGATTTGGTTCCTTTCCTCTACAGATTTGGTTCCTTTTCTCTACAGATTTGGTCCTTTATCTCTACAGATTTGGTTCCTTTTCGGTACAGATTTGGTCCTTTATCTCTACAGATTTGGTTCCTTTCCTCTACAGATTTGGTTCCTTTTTCTCTACAGATTTGGTTCTTTTTCTGTACAGATTTGGTTCCTTCTCTCTACAGATTTGGTTCCTTTCCTCTACAGATTTGGTTCCTTTTCGGTAGAGATTTGGTCCTTTTTTTTCTACAGATTTGGTTGCTTTTCTCTACAGATTTGGTTCCTTTTCTCTAGAGATTTGGTTCTTTTTCTGTACAGTTTAATAAAAGATTCTATTAAAAACAGAGATTAAGAGTTTTCAGAAAACGAGTTTACTCATTGTCAACGTAGCAAAATTGAAAGTATCTTACCAATTTTCAAAAGTAGTATCAAGTTCCAAATGATTTCCAATCCAATATTCGCCAACCTGCCAGTCGACAATTTTCAGCATCTCCCACTTATTCGATTTCTCATCCTTTGCCCATAGCACGTTCCCCAAGTGGCAATCCCAGTGGCAAAGCAGTGGATAGTCACCTAAATTGTTTGTTTTTGATTGATCCAACTATCAACAATGTTTGGCTGCTTGTCGCCACGTCTCCGATATGTCATTGAAACTCTCGGCAAAGCTGGCCAGCAGATTCGCTTCTCGATCGAGATTCGGATAGCGAGAGGCTATGCTAAGAAAACCAGCCGCACATCTCTGCAAAGGTAAACTGAATAAAAGTTTGCTTATAAAAAACTAGTATATTAGTTATTCTTATAGTTTTACCTTTTCGATTACTTGTTAGTAATTTCTGTTATTTCATTCTCTATGGGCTCTTTCCTGAGCTCGAGTTATGAAGTGAATCTTTCCTTGAATTAAATGGTCCAACCTCGATTCCATAGCCGCCTCGAATTGAGTTATTAGCCGAGAAATCAGCACAGATCTTGTCGTTAAAGTTTGACAAAAGGTCTCGATTTGAGATCACTAAATCTTTTGTTAACACTTAGGGCTCTTGCCTTGAATCGTGGTCTTTTGAAAGTTTTGTAGTCTTTTGTCAAAGTCCGTTTCGTGGTCTTTTGCAATTTTTGTTTTTTTTTTATATCAAAAAGTCTTTTGAAATTGTTTTAACTTATTCTATTAAGTTTCAAATGCAGCAGTTTATTTGATCAGAATCGTAAGAACAATAATTTTCTCATTTTCATTATTGGCTTCAGCGTCCATCACGTCATCAGCATTATTGCCGGTAGTTCCTTTTTGGTGACTTGACGCCTGTTCGCCAAACGACGGCTAGCTGGTCGTCTCAGCTCAGCAAAGCACAATTGAATAACATTACTTATTAAGTACAAAAAACGTTTCTGACGAATGGAGAGCCTGATCAAGCTACTTCAGCAGCAATACGACCACTTTCAAAAGGCCACAGTTTAGGGAAAAGTAGCACTTTTTGCCTGAATTATGGTCTTTTGAAAGTGGTCGTATTGCTGCTGAACTACCTAATAAGTAATTTTATTCAATTGTGCTTTGCTGAGCTGAGACGGCCAGCTAGCCGTCGATTGGTGAACAGGCGTCGAGTCACCAATCGCCGTCACCAAAAAGAAACTGCCGGCAATGATGCTGATGACTTGATGGACGCTGAAGCCAATAGCGAAAATGAGAAAATTGTTGTTCTTACGATTCTGATCAAATAAGCTGGTGCATGTGGAACTTAATAGAATACGTCAAACAACAAACATTTGGCATTCAGCCTCGCAAGAGACTCGAGAACTTGACTGACAGCCTTCATTGAGATGTTATCATAGTATCGAACTGGATGAACATCTTTCACGACTTCAATGAGAAAATATCCTGTTGGCAATCAGTTTAGGTCATCAAAAATTTCGGAAAACCTGTATCCAAGACTGTACTATAGTCGATGCCACCAAAATATTTCGGAATTCCACAACCCTCGGCCATTTCTAATTGATCGATACGTTGATAGAGATGATGCTCGGTGTTGTGAACCTATTATTTCTCGGTGCAGCTAAATGACGAACCAAAATTAATCGGTGAAGAGTCTGCAACTACAATACATTTGTGAACAAGGCACTGACAGGCAACACTTGTAGATTTCACGTGTTTACACTCGTGCATGTGCTTCAATGTGCTGAATTGGATGTGTGTGGGTGCTCAACAGGACTGACTATGAGTGCAATCTACATCAAGCTTACGATTCTAGCCGCTTTCCTCAGCTCTTCATCTTCTTTAGAGCATTTTCCGCTGAGCGACTTTGAGACATTGATCATCGATTGTTTACTGGTCAGCTGTAATTTGCAAATCAATTTTTAAAAGTGGAGACTGAGAAAATAAACTCATATAACTGATGAAAATTGATCTGAAAGGATAGTACGATTTTCTGCCTACATAGCTTTATGTAGACAGGAATTTAGGCAGAAATGTGCCTACATAGCTCTATGTAGGCAGAAATGTAGGCCGAAATGTGCCTACATAGCTCTATGTAGGCAACCAACCGTCAAGATATCACTAAAGACCTAGCATGAGAATTGGCAGCATGGAGTTTGACCCAAAGTCACCTATGTAAGCCTATTGGATTTGAAATGGATTCTCTGTTTGAAACAGTTAGGAAAACGACCTTAAGTAGCACTTCATGAGGCACCAACTGAGCGATGTCCGAAGCCAAATCGAGATTGAGCACAAAAATCGATGAAACCAGGCCCTTGAAGAGTATGAACTTCTATTTTATCTCAAACTAACCCCGCCTTCTCCTGCTCTTTCAGCCCTCCGATTTGAGCCAACTTTTACAGGAAATTTGAAATGCAATTCGAGATCCCGTTCGAGCATCGACCACGTGATCTTTGTATCGAAAATTTCATCATTATCCTGAAGACTTCTATCATTCGTAAGTCTAAGCATAAACCAACCAGAAAATCATTTGTTGCCATCTCGCTTATCTTTTGGAAATGAAATCGAATCTCTGTTTTTGAGCAATTGAGATTATTGAGAGAACCTGTTTGCTTTTCTCGTTGCTTTCACTCATCGTCAAACGATTGCCATATCGACTCTTCGAATAGTTGATTGTCAAGAAAAACACATCAATTGACGATCATTGGCAGAAAATAGCTGCGATCTAACCTAAAATACATTTTAAATACTAGAGTTGCTGAGACTAGAGTTGCTGAGACTAGAGTTGCTGAGACTAGAGTTGCTGAGACTAGAGTTGCTGAGACTAGAGTTGCTGAGACTAGAGTTGCTGAGACTAGAGTTGCTGAGACTAGAGTTGCTGAGACTAGAGTTGCTGAGACTAGAGTTGCTCGACTAGAGTTGCTCAGACTTAATGAATTTGATCCTGACTGTCTGTCTACTGTAATTATGGCTAAAGTTAATCAAGTGATTTTCGTGATTTTGCATTGTCATTACTACAGAAGTACATTCCCAAATCAGACAAATAGACGTCTTTTATAAATCACATTCACATTCACAAATCTAAAAAATTCGTGATTAAACGCTGATTTCCCTGGGAAAAAAACGGGCACGGAGGCAGAACAAATTGACATATGATTGGGATGGTCAAAAAAAGATGGTTGAGAGTGAAATGGATGCAAAAACTATCGGAGATTTTCAAAATCGTTACTGAAAATCGAGAAGAACAGAAACTAAATAAACTTGAACGAATAAAGGAACAAAAATGTCAAATCGTTTCAATTCGCCGATGAAGCATTGAGCTTCTTGAAACAATTTTTTGCACTCACTCCGACAATAAAATATGGTTGAAATTTAACACGGTAAAATCACTAAAGCTCGCTTTTTAAAAAATTTTTCGAAGGGATTTGGAAAAATTCTTTGATTTTCAATTTTTTTTTCAGCACATTTTTCTGCGTCAATTGGCTATTCAAACGTAAAAATCCTATGGAAAACGCATTTTTTTTGCGCGAATGTGCGTCCCACTATCCATTAGGCCACCGGTGCCCATCACCTAGGGATTGGAAAGCGCCCTTTAAAGCTTCAATTCAATTTTCTTCAATACTTTAAAGCTCTTTAAAGCTTTGAAATTTCAATTCAATTTTTACGCATTTGCAAGCTTATTTGGCAGATTTTGATTTCAGATTATGAACCTCCATACTCGATTTAGTAAGAAATCCGGATGTGATCTAGAAACGAAAGCTCATGGGAAGTTCGTGCCTTTCCCTAGTTAGGTTGTGATTTTGATTTCAAACTTCTTTTATGTCATTTTCTTGCTATTTCATTACTTTGTGTGGCTATTTTACTTCCTCTGAAATTAAAATTTTACCTCTTTCAATGACCAACGAGATTCATCCGGTTTCGCTGCGAGCAAATGTGGAGAGTGGCAGTCTTTACAAGATTTCCCCGCCAACTTAAGTCTACAGCGTCAAAATTATGGAGCCGAAATTCGATCTTTGATCTTTTGTTAATAATCTTAGTTTAGATGCTTAATAATCTTAGCTTAGATGCTTAATAATCTTAGTTTACATATCAGCGCTAAAATGACACCACGACGCTAGTAGAAAGTCTCCACTTTATCGTAAAAACTATATTGATGGTCTCATGGTGATGACTAGAGTGTGTTCCTCGCGAGTAAGTAATTACTCGAGTAAATTTGCATGAGTAATTTTTTAATCGAGTAATAGCTCGAGTAATTGTCGAGTAATGCGTTTTCTAAAAAGTGCGCCTGCGCGAAACAAATATAAAAGCTATTTTTTCTGCAGGTTTTTCAAAAAAAATTATTTTTTACATTGGAAGGGAGTTTCCCCACCAAATCAGTTAAACGGCTGAGTATCTTTAAAAAGTGTCGTATATAATGCGGGGCTCGTCATTTTTTGCAATAATTTTTGCCAAAAGTACGGTAATGTTTCGAGATCGATTTTTAGTCCTTCCATTTAAAGCTCTGTCAAAAGTCCCAGGTGCATCATTAACTGGAGGAGACCCGGGTCAAAAATTTGAGCCACGCGAAGTAAACGAATGCTTGCTGCATACTGAACAAGCGTTGAAGTGCGTAAAAAAGCTACACTTACTTGAAGACGCAGTGAAATTTGCTCGTGTACTGCTTCGATAAAAGATTTCACACGATCCGAATCATCAACTTCAGAACTACTCAAAGAATTAACCAGCGATAAAATTCAAAAGAATACCTGGTAAACTGCAAGCGTAGTGTCTTTAGAAAGGGAAGGTAGCACAAAATCGTTGCTTTTTCACGTGAAGCCTGAAAAGTAAAAATTTAGAATACACAAAGTAGCACACCAGCCCGGTAAATTTATCGAAAGCAGAAAGCAGGCTCGTGCATCTATCCAAGTCCAATTTCTCCTGATTAGTTGGCAGCAAAGATAAAAGTTTCAAGCTCTCAAATGTCGCATCAATCGCGGCAGCCTGGAAAAATACACATGAATAAAATTAATATATACAGGGTGTTCCAAAAAAGTTCAGTGCGATTTTTCTCAGAATTTCTAGTGGCTTCTGGTGGTTTTTGTGGTGCCAAAGTGAATATTCTGCGCGAATAGATTTTTCATATTTTGTCACTTTCTCCTGATTTCATGACGCCTATACGTGAAATTTTTGAGCCATCATGGCTGCCACCACCATATGGGCCACCGCCATGAGACTTTTGCCATAAAACTAAAACTTTTTACTAGCATCATAATGTCATATTAGAGTTAATATATAAACTAAGATTTGCAGCCAATCACTTTATTCATCTAAATTATATGATAATCTGTCGTACAAAAGAGATTTTCAACTCGCTATTTTTAAAGAAGTGTCCCGTTTTTCCAGAAAACGCTGATCAATAAAGTGTATGGTTAAAATTTGTACTTATCCTAATGGTGTTTATTATGAACCACGATGTCAGTACAAAGTTTTGATTTTATGTGACAGAATGTGACAAAATATGAAAAATCTATTCGCCCAAAATATTCACTTTGGCACCACAACAACCACCAGAAGCCACTAGAAATTCTGAGAAAAATCGCGCTGAACTTTTTGGAACACTCTGTATATTAGTTAACATAAACTTGTTTTATGCAAAGTTCGAACATCTTGTAGGTCGAATTCCAACGTGTCGGCACACTCAACTGCATTCGTAAATGCTTAATGCAAAACTCTTCTTGGAAGCTAAAAACCAGTATAAAGTACAATTAAAAACAAACAAATAGACCTTTTAAGGACACGCGAGCCCTCGGCTGAGTTACGGAGCTTCGTCATTATTTTTCGAACTTTTTCCTCAATTGTCTTTATCTCAAAAAGTGCAGCTGTTACTATTAGGTGGAGTTGATGAGCTAAGCATGGAACCCAAGCCGCGAATCTAAAATAACTTTGATTATAGTTAGACCAAAACGAGCATACTCTTTACAGCGAGAGCCTATGATGTCCAGTGAGGCCTTTTTTTGATTGGATGCAGAATCAGATGTAATACCAGCAAGCTGACCGAAAGACGCTGTAGCTTCCGTTACTGCAGATTCAAGTATCTAAACATACTTTTATATAATTAAATAGTTTGCACAACCTTTTGAAAATAATGCGCCGTATGGCTGTGTTCGCTACAATCCAGAACGCGAAGTACATGAGCGGTTCGGTTGCCTGTTTGGTCCATAATATGCACAAGAATACTATCAAAGATAATTAAAAGATAAAAGTACAGGCATACCCATAAAGTTTGTGGACTAAATTTTTGCTACACCACGCATCTGCAGTAATAGCGAACCATTTTGCTATGCGTAACTTTTCTCCAAACAATGTCTAAAATGATTTTTATTTGTTTACTCTTTCAAATTCTACTTGGTATTGCGTGAATTCCCGTGTGAGGATGCTTCCGGACAGACTTTTCTCAGATGGTACGAAATTATCACTACCCGCCAATAGTTTTATCATAGCTCTAAACTTTTTCTATTATGAGAAACAATAAAGTACCTACCTAAAAGCTAGATTTTCCACAATATGAACGGCCATGTTTCCTGTTCCAATCATTTCGATCAATAACGAATTGAATTGTTCGTATTCATCATCACGCAAAGTACGCCTAGTTTGGGGTGCGACCCGCTTTAACCTTATCATCGAGGATGATTTTGCTTCAGAATAGCCGAATTGCACAAAGAAGGTTAAAAAGGGTTTCCCCAAAGCGCTTACAACATAACAAGAACGAGCAGCATCCAACACAAGATTAATACTCGTCGGTGGCGACACAAATGTTAGTAAGCTCTCGCTACAATGTTAAACCAGTTATCTACAGGATTTAAAACCTGAAGGGTAGCATAAAGTAAGTTGAGTTTATAATTTTACTGTTTATTAGTACAAAACCAAAATGCAACAATACCTATTACAAAGACAGCATGCGCATCAAAAGAAACAACCAAAGTCCCCCAAGAGGGAAGGCAAAAGCAACCCGCAGACCCAAAAAAAAAAAACAATTTCGGGAAGGGAGAAAAGGGCGAAAAATGCGACGCGAATAATTGCAAAATAGCAACGCAAATAGGAAGGAAACGGACGCGACCACCCTCCTCCACGAGAAGGGCGGACCCACGCCCGAGTAATAATCACAATCTGACAAAAAGGGTTAAAAGACAAGGTTAAGACAAACTAAAAAGAAAAATTTCAACAAACTTTCAAGGCAATCCTTTTTGATGAGACCATTTGCTCCCTCAACGGCGACCACCACGTCCACGACCACGAGGTGATTCCATTCGGCCACCAATTCTCGACGACGAGGCAGCTGGCACATCGTCTTCAAACCATTCTTGATGTCGACGCTTGACCGGAGCTAGGCGATTTTCTTGACGAGGCTTCCTTTGGTGTTCCATGGCTTGCATCCATACATCTTTCCATTGATTGTCCAAAACATAACATCCCCACAGCTCGAGATGAAAGTTGGATAGGCTCGTTTCTGAGGCTGTCCCCATGAGCAGGTAGATCCTGGTGTCGAAACGATGTGACGGTC